TCCTCCTCCTCCTCCTCCTCCTCCTCCTCCTCCCTATAAACCCACTCCCTTCTAGTACAGATGATATTAGCTACTTGGGTCATGAAACATCTGCAACAAAATAGCCAAGGACCCTACAGTCCTCCTCCTCCTCCTCCTCCTCCTCCTCCTCCTCTCTGCAAATCCCACTCCCTTCTATCACTGCTGATGTTACCTAAATGGGTAATGAAACGTCTGCAAGAAAACCACCAAGCTCTGAGAGCACCAAGGACCCCACAGTCTTCCTCCTCCTCCTCCTCCTCCCTACAAACCCCACTCCCTTCTAGCACTAATGATGTTGCCTAGCTTGGTACCAAAAAGTCTGACACCAAGAAAACCACCAAGCTCAGGCAGCATCGAGGCTCAATCCTGAGCCAACGAGATTCTCTTCTATTGGAACCAGTGCTGGGATTCAGCCAGTTCGCACCAGTCCGGCAGAACCGGTAGCTAATTTTTTTTGTTGCCCAGGCCCAGAACGGACTTCCGGAAGCGGCATCCAGGCAGAGAACCGGTTCTTCACCTATTTGAATCCCACCACTGATTGGAAGACTTATTTAAAAACAAGTCCATGCAAGTCCAATGAAACGTATTTTAAGACTGCTATGAAATTTAAGGAGGGGAAAAAAAACTGGGTGGAGGAGTCACAAAGCAAAGAATTTTCTCCGGCTGTGTAGGTTGGGGTGGGGGAAGCAACCCACTCGTGCGTGGTTGCATCAGTTTTCAGAAACAAAGGGCTTGGCATCTCAGGAGTGAAAAACTCAACTGTTTTTGAAGAGCAGACTGTTTGCAGCTGCTAAATTTGGATGCAAGACTGAGCCCAGCCTGTCTTGTTTGGTTTGGATCAACGGGGGGGTTCCGGTGTCTTTCCAAGACCGGATCAACCGTCAGGATCTTCTTTCCCTTTTCAATTTAGCGTCACGCCATCCGTCCAAATGCACGAAGTTGTATTCATTAAATTGGCACAGAAGAACAACTGCAAACCGCTCAGCCTCGGATCCCTTGTGAAATAAAATGGTTCAAAAGCAAGAAGCACCCTTGGTTTAATTTAATTTAACCGGAGGGGGTCCATGCAAGCACACGGCAACTGTAGGCCTCATTTAAATGGAAGCAAAAATTCCCAGTTGCAATGTATGGATGTGAAAGTTGGACCATAAGAAAGGCTGAGCGCCAAAGAATGGAGGCCTTGGAACTCTGGTGCTGGAGAAGACTCCTGCGAGTCCCCTGGACTGCAAGGCGATCCAACCGGTCAGTCCTAGAGGAGATCAACCCCGACTGCTCTTTAGAAGGCCAGATCCTGAAGTTGAAACTCAAGTACTTTGGCCACCTCATGAGAAGGAAGGACTCCCTGGAGAAGAGCCTGATGCTGGGAAAGATGGAGGGCAAGAGAAGAAGGGGACGACAGAGAATGAGGGGGCTGGATGGAGTCCCTGAAGCAGGAGGCGTGAGCTTCAATGGACTCCAGAAGATGGTAGAGGACAGGAAGGCCTGGAGGAACGTTGTCCATGGAGTCGCGATGGGTCGGACACGACTTCGCAACTAACAACAACAAAAATAAAATGATTGGTTTACCTGCCATTTAGAAGGACGCCTTTACTGCTTAAATGGGGGTGGGTGAGTGGGTTTAAATCATGGGAAAAAAATGGCCATTAGACTCCTGATTTGTTTTGTCATGTTCTGTGTCTCTTGCAGGGAATACAGGCATAAAAAGAACATCACTTTTCATAGTAACCACACGGTCTCCTTTTTGGGGTATCGGACCTTCATCTTCCAACCGGACCGTTCCAACGGATCGGAAAATGATTACATCGTGATGCCGAATATCTTGGTTTTGGTAAGTGGCCTTCCATCTCTAGGGATTTTCAAGCCGTCTTCACATACCACGACAGGTGTCAATTCTGGATTGCTGTGCAGAGGGGCACAATTTTTCACCGCTGTTGTGTTTCCATTCTGGGCTTCATCTAGCAATACATTTCTCCAGAAGGACGTTTTGACCCTACTTTTCATAAAATCTGATGAGGCAGTTTTATCCCACTGGCTAGACTTCATTGCGTTATTACACTATTTTTTTTTTTTAAATTGCACAGATTGTGGGTTTCGTTTCCTCTTGGTGTGCGCTCGCAGTCTTGGTGGGCGATCTGCAAATATTGCAGAGAAATCGGTATATAAATTCTTGCAGTCTTCTGCAGGATGGCAGGAAAAAACCCAGATGAACAGGTCCACAATTTCTGTATATGTTTCAGAAATTAAGATCTAAGTTTCTAGTTGTGGTCACCAGGGAGTTGATTCTTAGTTTGCTAATCGTTACAAGAGTTTTTGTTGATGCCCGAGATTCAGCGCTAACTTTTGCATACTTGGAAATAAATACAGATTGTTGATTGCATTACAAATGCCATTTTCTTTGAAGACCAAAGGGAAGATATGGAATTTGAGGGGCTGCCACAAAGAAGAGGGAGTCATGCTATTCTTCAAAGCACCAGAGGGCAGGACGAGAAAGAATGGTTGGAAACTGATCAAAGAGAGAAGCAATCTGGAACTAAGGAGAAACTTCCTGACAGTGAGGACAATTAACCAGTGGAACAGAAGTTGCCTCCAGAAATCGTGGGCGCTCCATCACTGGAGATTTTTAAGAAGAGACCGGACTGTCACTTGTCTGAGATGGTATAGATTCTCCTGCTTGAGCAGGGGGCTGGACTAGAAGATCTCCAAGGTGCCTTCCAGCTCTATTCTATTTCTATTCTATTCTATTCTATTCTATTCTATTCTATTCTATTCTATTCTATTCTATTCGGTATTTCTATTCTATTCGGTATTTCTATTCTATTCTATTCTATTCTATTCTGTTCTATTCTATTCTATTCTATTCTATTCATATTCTATTCATTATTTCTTTGGAAGATAAATGTTACTTGTACAAGGGATTTCCATGTCATTTCTGACAATCCCCAGCTCTCAAAAAACTAGATGTTGATGAATCAGAATCTTAGGAGTTGATACACACTGATAAGCCATGGTTTTGTTTAAATGTGGTTTAGTGACTCAAACATACTTTTCAAGGCGTAGGCCCAAACAGAACCAGATGGATATCACTTCCTTAGTGGAACACTAACTGGATAGCAATTAGGAAAGGCATCTCCACATTTATAGAATATGAGAATAACAGAATAACAGAGTTGGAAGGGACCTTGGAGGTCTTCTAGTCCAGCCCCCTGCTGAAGCGGGAAACCCTTACACCATTTCAATAAGTCTTAGAGTCATTCACAGATCTTTCCGGAGACTCGTGGAGAAGGCTCTCGGTGTGCTTTGTGGTGTGTTTATGGTGATGAAAAAACAAGCATATAGAACAGTGTTTCTCAACCTTGACAATTTTAAGGCATGTGGACTTCAACTCCCAGAATTCCACAGCCAGCATTGCTGGCTGTGGAATTCTGGGAGTTGAAGTCCACATGCCTTAAAATTGTCAAGGTTGAGAAACACTGATATAGAACATAGAATAATAGGATTGGAAGGGACCTTAGAGGTCTTCTAGTCCAGCCCCCTGCTCAAGCAAGAAACCCTACACCATTTCAGACAAATGGCTGTCCAGTCTCTTCTTAAAAACTTAAAGCGCCCACAGCTTCTGGAGGTAAGCCGTTCCACTGGTTAATTAAGGCAATTAATTCATTGAAGGACCAGTTTCTAAGACTGTTCTTTCTGTTTGTTGTGATTCTTCTTTTATTCTGCTTGCTGATTTATTTATTTATTTTCCTTCAAGGGAGCAGCGGTCATCTTGGAAAAAATGCCGTTTCCCCTGAGGTTAACCTTCAGCAGCGCTCTGGCCTTCTTCCGCCAAAGCGCGTTCATGAACCGGACGGTGGAGGACATCATTTGGGGCTACCGCGAACCCTTCGTTCAGTTCTTGAGCAGCCTCGGGGTCACTGTGGGCCCGTTCAGTGAAAAATTCGGCTTGTTGGCCGACGTAAGTCAGATCCTTGGGTGTAGGGCCTGCGTCCAGACTTGTCTGTGGAGATTCTCAGTCAATCCAGGTCATGGTGGTCCCAAAGGTGCTTTTTTCTGGAGGCACCTGCACTTTCTGGTTTTTCTCTGAAGACCTTTCGCTTCTCATCCCAGAAGCTTCTCCAGCTCTGACTTCCATTCCCCACCATCCAGTCGGCTCCGGCTTCCACATTATTTTGCTTTGTCAGAAGGTGACAAAAGGGGATCAGGGGGGACCCCGGGGACGCTGCGACCATCATAAACGCGAGTCGGTTGCCAAGAGGCTGAATTTTGATCCCTGCAACGGTCGTAAGGCTGCAAAACGGTCCTAAGTCACTTTTTTTGAGTGCCGTTGTAAGTTGGAACGGTCGCTAAACAAACCGTTGAAAGTTGAGGACTTACCTGGGTAGGTATTTATCCCTCTGCCCTGGCTCTTTGACCTGCTGTGTTCAAAAGGAAGCCTTTGCTTTCCTCCTATTCCTTTTTCTTAAAAAAACGAACCAACAGGAAATCCAATGTGTGTTGCTAAAAATATGCAATTACTCAACCGGTTCTTCTTCTTCTTCTCCATTGCAGTTAAACAATTCCCACTCGGGTCTCTTCACGGTGTTTACGGGCATGGGCGACATCAACAAAGCTCACATGGTGGACAGTTGGAATGGATTAAAAAAGGTAAAAAAAAATAAAAATAAAAAGGAATATTTTCAGTCGCTGCTTTGCTTTTGTTTTTGCTTTCAAAGGCAGAAAAGCTGAAAAGCGCTAACGGAAGAATTCCAGGGACTGCTGCGTACGAAACGGGAGCCCTACTCGCAGGGAGTCCTCGACTTCCCAACAGTTCGTTGCGTGGCCGTCCGAAGTTACGACGGCACTAGGAAAAAGTGGCTTACGACCGTTTTTCACCCTTAACGGACGTCGCAGCGTCCTTGTAGTCACGTGATCAAAATTCGGCCGCTTGGCCAGTGGCTCGTATTGATGGCAGCGTCCCCCGAGGTCACGCAATCCCCCTTTTCACATTTATGACCCTTGCGGCATCTCCGTGCTCACGTGATCAGAATTCAGATGCTCGGCAACTGGCATGGACTTGCGACGGTTGCAGGGGCCCGGGGTCATGTGATCCCCTTTGGCGGTCCTACCGGCAAGCAAAGTCAGCGGGCAAGCCAGGTTGACTTCACAACCCTGTTGCTAACTTAACAACTGCAGTGATTCAGTTCACAGACGTGGTTCGAGAAAGGTCGTAAAACGAGGCAAAACTCACTTAACAAATGTCTCACTTAGCAAGGGAAATTTTGGCCTCAGGATGGGGTCGTAAAACGAGGACGACCTGTGTAAGAAAACCAAGGCTCAGATTTTTAATGCTTCTTTTTTTTCCCCAGCTAAACCTGAAAGAGATAAGGAGCCTTATTTCCATTTTTTATTTTTTTTTGGAGTTTTGCTAACAGACAAATCTGATATCAGGGCGTTTTAATTAATCCTAACCGTGTCAGGATTAATTAATATTTGGAGCAGGAATCTTACAAGGAGGTGAATCACGGCCTTGCCTTTGCAAAAGCAAATGCATTCTCTAAACAGTTGAAACAACAATTTTACCATCAGATAGACAACAGAGAGGTTGACTCCTGGAACCTAGATGTTATTGGACTACAACTCCCATCATCCTGATTTTTAAGCTTTATTTTTTTTTTGGGTCTGAAGAACGCGTAGATTAGAGTCCTACTAAACTCCAAAGGCCCAAGACCTTGAGTTTAAATCTGATAAATAAATAAAATATTTTTCACATCCACTTAATAATAATAATAATGATAAAGTTGGAAGGGACCTCGGAGGACATCTAGTCCAACCCCCTGCTCAGGCAGGAAACCCTATACCGTTTCGGACAAATGGCTGTCCAGTGTCTTCTTAAAAACTTCCAGAAGCAGACCGTAAGTTTGCTTATCTCAGGGGTCTTCAAAGTTGGCAACTTTAAGACTTGTGGACTTCAACTCCCAGAATTCCTCAGCCAGGCACAGCGTGCCTGGCTGAGGAATTCTGGGAGTTGAAGTCCACAAGTCTTAAAGTTGCCAACTTTGAAGAACCCTGTCTTATATGAAGGAAGCCCATCCTCTGTTCATGTAATCTTCATTCTGGAGACACGTCAAAGAGTTCCTCAAGAGTTTTCGTTTCATAATTTTTTTTCCCCCGGCTAGATTGGGTATTTTTGTCTTTTTGGTGCAACCCGTTTTATTCAAAGTCTGGCTGCTATGGAGAACTTTCTGCTGGAGATCTCCTTCCTAATGGCCCACCATCTTTCTTGTAGGATTTCTTGATTTAATTCTTTTTTTGGGGGGACGGGGGCTGGTGACATTAGCTTGCCAATCTGCTTACAGGGGGAAAATAGCATGGAAGGAAATAGCTTAATGGCAGGGTTTGAGAAGCTGGATGAACATTTTTTGGGGACTGTTGTTCTTATCTTCGGAGCAGGGGGTCTACAAACGTGGCAACTTTAAGACTTGTGGACTATAATTATGCATATATACATATATGTTTAAAGAGATTAAGAATATATCTTTTGGAATAAGATTGATTTTGAGGGGAATTATGTATTGGAATTGAAGAAACATTGAATTTTTAGACTGGAACTCTGAAGTGCTTAAAATAACTAGGTGATTTTTGTGTATATGGTCTGATAAGGTATGATAAGTAATTGGATGGAATTTGAAGTTGGTCTAATGAATTGAAATGAATTAAGATTTAACATTGTGTTTTTTTTTAACTAAGTTAGTTATTATTGGAAGAAGAAATAAATGAGATTGGTGATAAAAAGAGGGATGAGAGAGATTAAGAGCTTGAACGTATCTGGAAGAGATACTTGAAGTGATAATCTATGGAAGTAAAACAATATTTGATTATGGTAATTGTAAACTGATAAAGTTTTAAAACAGGTTTAGTCGTATAGAAATTTAAGCTAGAAATGGAATATATTAAATCCATTATGTTATTTGGGGGAAATAGAGAGATGATAGTGAATGTACTAAGTTGAGCTGTTTATGTATGCTTTTACTTTGAAATGTTTGTTTACCCAAATACCACAAGGTGTCTTAAGCACTTTTTGTTAAAATTAAAAAACCAATAAAATATTTTTTTTTAAAAAAAAAGACTTGTGGACTTCAACTCCCAGAATTCCCCAGCCAGCATGGAATTCTGGGAGTTGGAAGTCCACAAGTCTTAAAGTTGCCAAGTTTAGAGGCCCCCGCTTTAGAGGAAGGCATGGGTTCTCAAATCAACCTGGCTTCTGGATATTAAACCTCCTTCTCTTTTACAGGTATCATTCTGGCATTCTGATCAATGTAACATGATCAATGGAACTGCAGGAGAACAGTGGCCACCTTTTATGACACCATCTTCACCTGTGGAACTCTATACTCCTGATGCCTGCAGGTGACTAACTTGCAAATCCTTGTCTCTCCAAGACCTTTCCTACACTAGAATTCTGCCCAGCCTTTCAAATATGTCTCCAGTGCAATGAACAAATGGCCAAATATCCAACTCTCATGTCCCACCATCATTCAAATACATTTTCTTGGAATTAGATGGCCGTGAAATGTTGCTGGCCATTCAAGGTGGACTCTTCAATCCCTTATTCCCCTCAATTTAAAGGCGGCATCTAGCCACCCAAATTGTCCATCTCTGTTCTAAACTTTCAGACATGTTTTTTCATTCATGGTCCATCTTCTTCATTCATGATCCATCTTCACTCATGGCCCAAATTCTTCATTCATGGCCCAAATTCTTCATTCACGGTCCACCTTCTTCATTCATGGTCCACCTTCTTCATTCACGGTCCACCTTCTTCATTCATGGTCCACCTTCTTTATTCACGATCCACCTTCTTCATTCATGGTCCACCGTCTTCATTCATGGTCCACTTTCTTCATTCGTGTTCCACCTTCTTCATTCATGGTCCACCATCTTCATTCATTGTCCACCTTCTTCATTCATGTTCCACCTTCTTCATTCATGCTCCACCTTCTTCATTCATGGTCCATGGGGATGCTGGTCTTTCAAGGAACTCCTGTCCCACTTGACCTCTCTCTTAATTTGTCTCTTTCAGGTCAATTAAATTAAATTATACCATGTCTAGAAAATTCAGAGGGATACCAGTTTATCATTACACAGCTCCGAAGAACCTGTTTGCCAACGGGACCACCTATCCACCCAATGAGGGCTTCTGCCCGTGCCGGCAATCCGGAATCCAGAACATTAGCTCCTGTAAATCAAGTATGTCTGCTGAATATTTTGGTTGTACGAAGACTAGACTAGACTAGACTAGAATAGACTAGAACAGAACAGAACAGAACAGAACAGAATAGAATAATGATAATAGAATATAATAGAATAATGATAATAGAATAGAATAGAATAGAATAGAATAGAATAGAATAGAATAGAATAGAATAGAATAGAAGCTGGAAGGGACCTTAGAGGTCTTCTAGTCCAGCCCCCTGCTCAAACAGGAGAACCTATACCATCTCAGACAAGTCTAGCCCCTTCTTAAAAATCTCCAGTGCTGGAACGCCCACAATTTCTTTCAAAATTGTTGAGGACTACCTGTATAGCAGTTGCTTAATTCCGCCCCTGTGCATACAGAACTGAAGAATGAGGAGTGTATACCTGATTTTCAGTTAATTTGATCCACACACGTGGGCCTTTCTGCATCCAGGAGTGAATTTTCACCCTCTGGCTGGATGGCCTTTTAGTGTCCCGGATCACATGACTCCAAGTTCCACCATGCGGGACAGAATTAGCTTCACATTTGCAATGATAATGGGCAGGTGTGCAGGAATTAGAAGCCAAGGGAGGGAACCTCATGAAGCTTGTAGGAAACGGTCAGCATATTTTTTTTTTCGCCCCAGTGGCTTCGGTCATCTTCCTGTTTTCATAGCTGGGTCAGCACGAAGCAAAGAGGAATTCAATCCAAATTCTTGGCTGACAGTCAAGTTTCAAGTTGATAAGTTATGGGTTTGCACATTTAAATCACTCCTGGTTTCTGTTTGTTCATCTCCTTCCGGAGAGATCTTTTAGATCACCGATGTACACCTGCCCATTTTTTTAAAATTGCCATTTGCATAACCTATGCAATATTTAAAAATAAAATAAAAATTGGCAATTTGCTTAAGCTACAGCCTTGCCCTAGAAATCTTTCGGCTGGGCCGGGCTGCTATAAAACTTCAGCCAATCAAAAAAAACGGAGCCACCGCCAGCATTGATTCGCTACCCCGCTGAGGATTTGACTCAGACAAGTTCCTGGTCCTCATGATCGATGGAACTTCCAAGCATGGCTTCTCCCACGACCCGCTGGTCAGGAAAAGGGTCCTCAACAAATAAACCCAACTTTGTGTGAAGAGGTACAGTCAGCAGGACGAATCCTGCACATATTTACAGGTTGTCCTCGACATACGACGGTCATGGGGCCTGCCGATTAGGGCCACAGATCAAATCGGTCATGTGAACGACCCAGTTTTATGACCTTTTTAGCAGCACTTGTTCAGCAAACATAGCCCTGCTAAAACAAACCCATTGGTCACTATGGCACGGTTTTTCAGCAAAACCGTCAGAAAGCGGGGTCCCAGGTTCACCGGACGCTACAAACGAATAAATGCAGCCATTTACAGTGGGGTCAAGTGGCCGTCGGAACTTCAGATCCAGGTTCTGACTCTCTTTTTTGCAACCGGTTGTAAGTCGAGAGCTACTTGTTGAAAAGAGGGAGGGAAAAAAGAGCTTGTTACATTCTGATTTTAATTTTAATTTTTTCCCCCCTTTCTAAAGATGCACCGATGTTTATTTCTCAACCTCATTTCTTCAACGCTGATCCAGCTTTACTGGACACGGTTGAAGGTTTACACCCGAACGAAAAGGATCACGATCTGTTTGTTGATATACATCCGGTGAGTTTGCCTTTTAACTCTAATTGGTAGTTATGGCTTTATTATCAGGGTGACAGATTTTCACCTTCCCATATTTTATCAGTCCTTTTGCTCAAACAGGACAGAGGAATACAATTTCTGGAGTGGTTTCCTGCACATTTATTTAAACCAATTAACCCTGTTTTACATTTTGGTTTTGATGAATCGGAAAATAATTTTCCCACTTGTGTGGGTGGAAGTTATTTTAATATTGGCTCTGCCATTTTGGAAAACATCCCTTTCTCGAAAGCCACAAAGCATCTCTTTGGTTTTTGTTACGATGATTGTCCCCATTGTTTTGACATTTGCAACTGCTGACTTATAATTCATGGTTGTGCACTGCCCAGAGTTGGCTTCGGTGAACAAGGCGGCAGCCGGTATAAATTTGATTAAAATAAATAAATTAGATCCTAAGAGCGAAAGAATGTGTTAAAAGGAACCTAGCAACTTCCCTTTGATTAAAATAAATAAATTAGATCCTAAGAGCGAAAGAATGTATTAAAAGGAAGCTAGCAACTTCCCTTTACATTTTTTATTCTAAAATGAAATAGCTTGAGGGACTCGGAATATCTCCTGCATGCAAATTTAAACAACCAAACATTCATTTGCTCCTCATGAACTCATGGTTTTTTTTTCTAAACTGAATGGATAATTTAAAGCTCACTAAAGGCCAGCTAAAGTTTTAAATTGACTTTGAGGTGCCGTTTGAGAAACACAAGGAAGTGTTGGTTGGATATAAATCGTCTTTGCAATCATTCTTGATTTGCGATTATTATTATTATTTTAAGATTGCTTAGCGCAGTGGTGGCGAACCTATGGCACGCGTGCCAGAGGGGGCACTCGGAGCCCTCTCTGTGGGCACGCGCGCCTCGCTCTTTGGCTAAGTTTTCGCAGGAAAAAGCCATTTCTCAAGCCCCTTCCTAGCCTAAACAAGCCTCCGGAGCGAGCACGCTGTTTTCAGCTTTGAATTATATCAAATCTGACACCAGAAACAGACTTAACAGATGACCTGAGTGCTGCGTGTGTTGCTCTCAAACTGACAAAGTATAAGCCAAGGTTAGACAAATGATCAGCCTGCATACAACAGCAAAAATCACATTAATTGCTCAAAAGCATGCCAAATGCAAACTTTTACCTTTCAGAAAAAAGTTGTTTGTATCATCGAAAGCTTTGTCATTGTGTTTTTCTTTTAAGACAAAAGATGTTAATGTAGGAGTTGTTTTTGCTAAACCAAAACCTCAGTATTCGTATTAAATTGCCGTGTTGGCATTTTGCGATAAATAAGTGGGTTTTGGGGTTGCAGTTTGGGCACTCGGTCTCTCGCCATCACTGGTTTAGCGCTTGCAAGACTGAGTGGAATCGATGACTAAATGAAGGAATTTTTGTGGCTGTAGGAAGTGTACAAATCAGGTTGCATCTGTGCATAAATTGGCCGAAAAGGGCTGTGGTAGAAAAGATGAAATCCTTACTTAACAGATGCTCATCATTAAAATCTGTGTTTAGGGATTTGGCCGTGTGGAAAACCCTTCTGTGGAGAGAGAAAAAGGGGACTTGTGACCATTTTTCACACTTATGACCGTTGCAGCAAGCCCACGCTCACGTGATTTACATTCGGTTGCTTGCTAAGTCTAAGCCACTCGCCTTTATGACGGTCGCAGTAGATCACGTGATCCCCTTTTGCAACCTTCTGACCAGCCAAGTCAATGGGGAAATTTGTTCACTTAACAATTGTGTGGCTCGCTTAAGAACTGCGGTGATTCATTTAGCAAATGGGGCGAGAAAAGTCGCCAAATGGGGCAAAACTCACGGAACACGTTCCTCGCTTAGCAGCATAAATTGTGGGGCCCGCTGTGGCCGTACGTGTGAGGACTACCTGTATTTCTCCCATATTTTTTTTTTCCTACAGGCTTCATGGTGTGCATTCGGACACCGACAAGCTGCAACTGCCCCTCACTTTGCAATTGTTAGGAATATGAGTGCAGCCTATGCAAATGGGATCCTTTTGCAGGCATTCTGAGCTTTGCCCTAGATAAGCGAATTATTTCTGAAATGCAGAATATGAGAATCACGTAGGCAAGGATTTTCCCTGGTATTTGAGATCCGCTTCCTTGGAACCTGGTGCCCCGTCTCTCCTCCTCCTCCTTCCATCCTTCTCCTTCCTCTTCTCTTTCTCTTTCTCCTTCCCTTATTCTTTTCCTCTTTCTCTTCCTCCTTGCTCTTCTTCACCTTTGCCTTCTCTTTCTCCTCCTCCTCCTGCTCTTTCTCGTTCTTTTTCTCCCTCTTCTCCTTCTTTCTTCCTTCCCTTTCTCTTTCCTCTTCTTCACCTTTTCTTCCTTCCCTTTCCCCTCCTTCTCCTCCTTTTTCTCCTTTACCTTTTTCTTCTTCCTCTTCTTCCTTCTTCTTCCATCCTCTCTTCCTTCCTCTTCTCCTCCTCCTCCTTTCTCCTTCCCTCTTCTTCTCCTTCCTCTTCTTCTCCTCCTCCTCACATCCTATGTTCCTTCCTCTTCTCCTCCTTCCATCCTCTCTTCCTTCCTCTCCTCTTCCTCCTTCCATCCTTCTCTTCCTCCTTCTTTCCTTCCTCTCCTCCTTCTTTCTCCTTTCCTCTTCTCCTTCCTCTCCTCCTCCTTCCATCCTCTCTTCCTTCCTCTTCTCCTCCTCCTCACATCCTTCTCTTCCTCCTTCTTTCCTTCCTCTCCTCCTTCTTCCTCCTTTCCTCTTCTTCTCCTTCCTTTTCTCCTCCTCCTCCTCCTCCTCCTTCCATCCTCCCTTCCTCTTCTCCTCCTCCTTCCATCCTTCTCCTCCTTCTTCTCCTCCTTCCTCTCCTCCTTCTCCTATCTTTCTTCCTCCTCGTCTTCTCCTCTCTCCTTCTTCCTCTTCTTCTTCTTCCTCTTCTCCACCCCTCCTCCTCCCCTCCTCCTCCCCCTTCTCTTCACCACAAAACAGTAAATCACTCCCAACTCTGATGTTCCTCCTCTTTTGCCCTCCTCCTCCTCCGCCTCCCTTCGGATCAGCCAAGCCCTTGGGAAAGGGACGGAGAGAAAGGCATATATCTCAATTTCGTCATCCATCCTGGAGGCTGCATTGCCCAACCGTTCCAGCGATAACGCTATCAAGGCTTTCAAGCACCTGATGTCCTGGGGCCTCTGAGTATCTTCTTGCCCAGCTCCATGGGAACCGGAGAGATGTTGAGCCACTCTTAACCTCTCCTCCGAAAACATCCCATTCTCCCCTGTAACCCTTGCAGGCATTCTCACGTTGGTCTTGCCAGTTCAGGCCCCTTAAGAGACGAGCCCTTGGAACTGTGATTTTGGATTTTTTTTTATATATATATAACAAATTTTATCGGTTTTCCAGTTTTACATTTAAGTCTTCGGAAAGCAGCGTGGTGACTGGGTAATCAGTGGTTCGACAACAAAATCTTTAGTACATATCTCAGGTGACATCATCAAAAATTCCTTCTCTATTTCCCTTGTTGTTGTTGTTAATTGCGAAGTCGTGTCCGACCCATCGTGACCCCATGGACAACGTTCCTCTCTAGGCCTTCCTGTCCTCTACCATCTTCTGGAGTCCATTGAAGCTCACGCCTCCTGCTTCAGTGACTCCATCCAGCCACCTCATTCTCTGTCGTCCCCTTCTTCTCTTGCCCTCCATCTTTCCCAGCATTAGGCTCTTCTCCAGGGAGTCCTTCCTTCTCATGAGGTGGCCAAAGGACTTGAGTTTCAACTTCAGGATCTGGCCTTCTAAAGAGCAGTCGGGGTTGATCTCCTCCAGGACTGACCGGTTGGATCGCCTTGCAGTCCAGGGGACTCGCAGGAGTCTTCTCCAGCACCAGAGTCCAAAGGCCTCCATTCTTTGGCAGTCCCCTGGACTGCAAGGTGATCAAACCGGTCGGTCCTAGAGGAGATCAACCCCGACTGCTCTTTAGAAGGCCAGATCCTGAAGTTGAAACTCAAGTACTTTGGCCACCTAAGGAGAAGGAAGGACTCACTGGAGAAGAGCCTAATGCTGGGAAAGATGGAGGGCAATAGAAGAAGGGGACGACAGAGAAGGAGGTGGCTGGATGGAGTCCCTGAAGCAGGAGGCGTGAGCTTCAATGGACTCCAAAAGATGGTAGAGGACAGGAAGGCCTGGAGGAACGTTGTCCATGGGGTCATGTTGGGTCAGACACGACTTCGCAACTAACAACAACAACAATGGACCCCCGTATCCCCTTCTCTAACAGGAGGCGAATGGTTGCACCTAGTACAGGACCAAATTTCTGTCGTTAAGCGAGACAGCTGCTAAGTGAGTTTTGCCCCATTTTACGACCTTTCTCGCCACAATTGTTCAGCGGATCGCTGCAGTCGTTAAGTTAGGAACCCGGCTGTTAAGTCAATCTGGCTTCCCCCATTGACTTTGCTGGTCAGAAGGCCACAAAAAGGGGATCACACACTGCAACCGTCATAAATGTGAGTCCGTTGCCGAGCGTCTGAATTTGAATCACGTGACCCAGGAGATGCTGCAATGGTCATTAAGCCTGAAAAGCAGTCCTAGGTCCCTTTTCCCCCCCCAGTACCGTTGGGACTCCGAACCGTCACTAAACAAACTGTCGTAAGTCGAGGACAAGCTGCACAGAGCGCCGGAGCGTGTAAAATTAATAGCCGTTTTTGTTCTGCCGTCCACGCGCTCACTCTGTGTGCATGTGGTGTCACAACTCCGTGCACGCAAATTATGGGGTGATTTTTAATTTATTCTTTTTTTGTTTCGCTTTGTTCCTATGGCCTGATGACGTTCATTTTGATATTTTTTTTT